GTTTTTTTAATGGGGAATTATGAGCAATATTTAAAAATGTGTTTTAGATAAAAAGACTAATATTCTTTAATGGAGGGTTACTTTTCTTGAAGGCTCTTGTGTACGTAAAGAACATACTGAAATTTAACTGCAATCTGTTTAAGTTTTTCCTCTAATACACATTCTGCATATCTAATATAGGAGATTACTTTGACTTCCTGGGATTTATTGAGGAGTAAATCTTTTAAAACAACCACTATAATAAAATGCATTCTCTTCTTTAAAACCATTCTGAGATTCTTACTATTGTTATATTTTTAAGCATCCATGGGGCTAAGGACATGTTCGTTAAGGTAAATGTTACTGCTTACAGAAATAGCAGTAGAAAAATAAACTTGGGGATCTTGACCCTGTACATATGAACCCAAGCTGCTGATGTGCAGGAAGCTTGTAATAAACCAATTCGAGAAAAACATTGAGTATTTATGTCTATTGCAATATGGATTAATAAATACTTAAATGTGATTTTCCTCTTTGCTTCACAAGATTATACAAGTGGCAACACTTGGGTTAAATGCTAGGGAAACATGTCGCTGTTTTTGAGAAAAGAACAATTTTCTTCTATCTAAAAGAAAAGCAGGGATCTAACTTCTTGAGGAGGGGGAGGTTGCTTCATTTTGTTTCTTGATGCACGGTCTGAGTAAAAAGACACAGTTCAGTGAAGTCTATATCCTTCTGGGGGCAAGTTGGTATTTCTACTACACAGGGGGAAATCCCTTCAGGGTCAAGGAGTTTGGTGTTCTGCCCCTGCAGGCAACCACGTCAGTCCCTCTCAGATGCACGCACCATCTCATGGGCTCTAGTTATAAAGCTGTTGTTTAATTTTCGTCTACCCCTACCAGAAGTCTGGTCTGTGATAGTGCTGTTCTGATAGGGTGGTTATGAGTAAAACCTGATCTTGGAGGATCTGAGGATGGCTGTTGCTGGCCGTGTAGGTTATATAGTTAACATACACTGGAGTCTTCACTGCGGCCCTGCTTCTTCCTTTAAAGCAAGGGTTATGTTTTGTGTGTGTTTTGAGTTTTGTTTTATAACATTGTGTACAGTCTTGTGGAGAGAAGCAATACAGTGTATTTTCAGAGCTGGGGAGTTGAAAGTGATAGTGTGATGGAAGGTAGGTAAGTAGCTGTAATATTGTGTGCAAAATATCACTTAATCTGACTCTTGGGAGCTTTGGCTAGTTTTATCTGGTATGTTATTATTATTTTTTTAAATAATACATCTCTTATAATGATCTAGATGCCATAGCTACCTTCCAATAGTATTGCTTCTTTCCCTTTCTTTCTGAAAACAAAGATTCAGTCAAGATGCTGATGCCTGTTACAGAGCTCTGTTCAAGTCCAGTCACATTCACTGGGTTACACTGGCTGATGGGATGGCATTCTCGGTGCTCATGTTTCAGCAGATGCTCTTTTTTTTGGGGTGAGAAACTGTGAGTGAAGTCGACAGTGGCATGGTGTAGGATGAGAACTCCCAGCTACTCGGTTCAGAGAAGGTTGTTGCAAGTTGCAGGGTAGAGATGGTACCTCACTTGAAAAGTGTCTCTATCCCTGTAAAATGCACCTCCCATGCCTTGCTCACACACATGCTTATCTTACTGGAAATACTTTTTTAGGTATTGCCTGGGAGAATAGACAGTAAAAATACAAAATAGAAGTGAAGCACCTCTGTGGGGTATGTTTCTTGGGTAATTCCCTGTGTGCTAGTGTGACAGCTGAGTAGTGGCTAATTAGTAACAGGAACAAGCGGGGTTTGTTTTTTTGTTCTTAAAGGCTTACTGAAATGCTGAAACTCTTGTTGCACTCACTTTTCCTGCTTCCCCCACCTCCCCTCAACCCAACACCCACAAAGTGCAAACCCAGAAAGACGGCCTAATATTTTCCTGAGAGTAAACTTTGTTTAAATCTTGGCTTCTGAAACCTGTCCTGAGATGGTTTCCAGAAGGCTGCAGGCTCAGAATACTTTGACTTGTGTAGCTCTGGCTGCAGGCTTTGACTGGGATGCCATGGAAAGAGACTAGACACTGATAATGTCTACAGCTGTGTGAGATAACAACAACTGTCCAGCTCTTTATTGAAGGTGTTAGGCTTGAGCAAAAGGCCATGGAAACGGAGAAGGACTATGTGCTACCAATATGATCAGAAGTAATAATTACAAAAGTTGTGCGAGGTTTTGTTTCTTTTGTTTCTTTAGTCTGAATAATATTGCTTAGTGCTTCCTTTAGTCTAAAAAGAAAGTTAGCTGCTAGGTTGCAGGGAGTTCTTCAGGGTTTTTTTGTCATGTCCCCCACACCTCCAACATGGTTATTGTATTTCAGAATAAGCAGTAAGTTTTCAGAAGGTATTTCTCTCTCTCTTCTCCACCTTTGCCAAATCCACATCGCTTCTAGTCTCCTGGAGAACTAAACACCACCACTGAAGGTTTCTGTCACAGCTGGTGTGTAGACCAAGGGTTTTCAAACCACTTGATACCAAAGCTCCAAGTTCTATGCTGAACAGAAAAATTGGCACAGAGAATATGTGTATGTTGATCATCCTGACTTACATCTTGTCCCTATTCTTTCCAGATACTTTGCAAGACAGGGCAATCGATAATGTCTTCAGAACACGGAGCTAACAAACGGCATCATAACCCAGTGGACAGTATATGCAGAAAAATCAAATCAATCCAAATGCTGGACCAAGTCTCTAACCCAGCTTTGCAGATACCGAAATTTCAGTCCCGGAACTTTGACAGTCCACAGTGCAATACCAAAAAAAACCTAGAAGAAATACTGAAGAAAAGAACTTTTAGAAGTCATAACAGTACTGGTCCACACTTAATCAGTCCAAGCGGTGACAGTGATTTGTCTGCAAACTTGCAGTTGCTGTCACCTTGTCTCTGGCATAGCTCTGACTCCTGCTCTGCAAATGCTACCTATTCAATCATTAAAAGCGAAGAGCGATCCAGCAACTCATGGATGCCAGTATGCCCTGTGGAGAACTGTTCTCCATCCTACTTCAGATCCGGAGACGTTAATACCCAGAACAAACTGTATGCTTTCTCAAATGTTGAATCTAAAATGGTGCCTCGTGAACAGATGTATCTTACGTCAAGTCCAATATATTTCTTCACATCTGATAAAAAGTCAGAAAGTGCTGTGATGCAGTCTCCTGTGCCAAAGAGATTACCTTTGACCGAAAGAGGTAAAAATCCTGGAAAAAAAAATCCCTCCCAAGTCAAAATCCTAGACATCTGAACGTTCAGCCTACATAGATGACATTTATTTACTACTTAAACTAGTAACAGTATGTTTTAGAATCACTCAAGTCTAACAAGACTGCAAAAAGAGCTGAGTAAAATCTTGAATTTTCTCTAAAAAATATTGATGTGAATGTAAAAAGTGAGGAAGTAATGAATCAACTAAAAAGCTTTTTCAGATTTGGTAATTCCTCTCTGTAGATAAGAGATTTGGCTGTTAATTTAGTCTGCCTTTAATATAAAAAGATATAGGAGTTTGGGTGTGGGTTTTTTGTCGTGGGTTTTTTTTTTTGTGTTTTGTTGTTTTGTTTTGTTTTTTTTAAGGATTGTTTTCTTAATAACTTCATCTGACCATGATGATTTACCTACAATATATCTGGAGGGGGAGGGAAGAAATAGCTGGCTTCTTAAAATATTCTGGTTTATATTTTTACTTCATGCAGAAGAATAGCTAGAGTTGCCAAAAATGCATGTGTAGAAGTAGATGCATAAACCAATTCGTAGCTTAAAGGCTTGAACAGCATGAACAGTTCCTGGTGTTATTTGGCAGTAAAAGCTCTGTTTATTGGTGGTGGGGAGGGAGCTGGTTGGTTGGTTTGGTTTGGGTTTTGTTTTGTTGTTTTTTCTTTAAAAAGATTATTAAAAAAAAGTGCCATTCAAGCTGTGGCATGCTATGTGTGCTCTTGCTATTACAAACATAATATTGTAGTTAGAATCTGTGGTGCATGAAAGTTACTATGAGCAAATAAAGATGGACAATAACAAACTTATTCTTCACAGGATGGAAGCAGTCGCTGGGGTACAAAGCTGACAACATGCATGATGTGAGCTTGATCTGTGAAGAAGACTTACTGACCACTATCTTCTGTGCCTGTGACACAGAGCATACAGGTTTGCCAATGGCTTTTCATTGCTCCATTTTATTCTCCTCTCAAAAAATTTTCAAGGCTGAGATCGTGTCATGATTCCCGAGACATGCCAATCCATGATGTGCTTAGCCTGACTGGCTCCTTTAGCTAGGTGGCTGTATGTGTGGCAGATGCAGAATAAATGTCTGTACCTCTTTTGCCTATCTCTTCCCTCCCCCTTCCCCCTGCAGCTGATTTTTGCTGTATTTTAATGCAGAGGAAGTAGAGGAGCAACATGCTTCTAGCAATTCTACCCCATTGGAAATGGCTGTTTATTTTTCTTTTAGGCTTTTTGCTGTTAGAAAAGAGAATGCTGGGAAACTTCAGAGCAAAAGAGCATTCCTCTGAATTCCACCTCAAATGTGACTAAAAGTGGTAGAGAAAGGAGTTGTCTAGCAGAGTAATATGATGTCAGTCACAGGGTTTGCTAAATTTGATGAGAGACCTCAAAGTAGTAATATAGCAAATGTGCCAGGTTTGTTCTTCTTAAACTGAAGTCCACAAAAGTAGTAAACTTGGACTTTCAAGCTTCTGTATTAGAAAAACCAGACAAAAGCTCTAAGCTATTCCTTTCCAAGTCACACTAGAGCTGCAGGGATCAGTGGCTTGCCTACAGCTCTTGAGGCCAATTGAATACGCATTAGTGCAGATCTAGTAGCATGCCCTTTTACATCTTTTTATAATGGCCTGCTAGACTTTAGAGTCTGGCACATGGACACCTGTATCTATTTTTAGGAAAAGTAGCAGTTTCCAAGATAGTTGATTATTTGAGACATACAACTAGTCGAAAGTGGTCTTGAAGAGCTGTGCAACATGCTTGACCCAGATCAGAAAGATGTCTCCATGGACCTGGAAACATACCATGCCATCATGAAAGAGTGGATTGAAGACTGTAAGAGAAAATGGTAATAGCTTTTTATCAATCTATATCATAAAAGCTTCTGTGAAAACAGGAGAGCAAAATGTTCTCCTGTGCCTTGTGCCTTCCGTACAATGACAGTATCAGGACACTGTGACCACAGTGTGGGTTTTGGCTGAAAGCTTTTAAATGTTGCAAAGTTAGCAAGCTATCCAGTGTCATACTGATTCTGTGACTCTTGATGCTTCCTTATTTCAGGGAAGATAGTGCCACTGAGGAAGCAACAGCAAGCATGGAAGACCTGGAATTTAAAGTGCATAAAAACACCTCTGAAGGTGCAGACCATTTTATTCTGTTGTTATTCAGGAAAGCTCCACTTTCTTACCCTATAACCAAAACCCCCACCTCTTTCAGCAAAAAAGACGCATGTCAGGATGAATGTTACATCAGGAAGCTTGGAGGCTTTTGGGGGTGAAGTGTCTAAAGGAGACATGTAAGTCCATTTAACCAATTCTTTCTCAGAATTTAGCACTCCTAGCTTTGAATTACTTGAGAGCAATTCCTAGAACCACCATTCCAGAAAACTATCTTGGCAGAGTTTCTAAGGCTGACCTCAGTCTGCACTAGCCCTTGCTGCTATCGCAGTCTTCCTCACAGCTTCTGCTCAGACTTAAAAACACACTTGTAACTTTTCCCACTGATATCTTGGTCCCTCTGTGTCCATTTGCCTTTTTAATTCCCTGTGGTCAGAGTTTTTGCTGTGTGTTTCGTCTCCTTTTTAAACTGGTTCCTTCCCTCCCCCAGGTTCTTGGGTGTATGACAATAGAAGATATTATCTCCTGAAAATCTGGTCCTTGGTTTTGTTTGTTTGTTTAATTTTTTTATAGTCATGACTCTGACTTGGATTCTATTAATAGCAAAGCACTTAACAAACGCCAGAAGTTTCAAAGATAACTTGCATTTTATGTATAGTCAAAAATCTTAAGAACTGCTTTCTGATGCTTCCCTATTGTTTCTCAAGATCTTGAAAGGGTGAACCTTGATCAAGTTTCAGTTGCAAGCATAAGTGGTAGATGGTTTAGGGGAAAAGAAAGGATCCAGAAATTGTGGAGTCAATACAAAAGTATTAGTGGTGGCCTAAGAGGTGATTAGCAAAGGCTTAAGATACTGTCACAGAGACATCCAGATATGGTACTTGTCTGGTGTCATACGTCAATTGCAGGGAGCATAAAAAAAAGTGCTTAAAACAAATCAGTTCCTGGTGTCCGTAGATTTAGAGAACTGATCTGAAGATGATCGGATATCTCTGTGCAGAGCAAATAACTACACTGCAGCATTACAAGTTCTCTGTGGGCTCTCCTCTTGCCTCTCTAATCAGCACAGCATCAGGATTTTCAAAAAGTCTAAATTGGATCAAATCTACTTTCTCAATCTTTCCCGGTTTTGTTACTGGAACAGGGAAACTTCTGACTTGATAACTTGTGTTGCGGACCTGCAGTACAACAACCAGAAGCTTCAGGAAGAGAACAACAAGCTGAAGCTCACACTGGAAGCTGTGGATGAGACCAACAATAAACTATTGGCAGATAATGAGGATCTACGTCAACAAATAAAAAGGTTTGGAGACCCTGATGGCACCAGGTCTGCAGTGCAATGGCCTTGGGTAGACCTATCTTCTTGCAGGTGGACCAGCCTTGCTTTATGCTTTTAGCCTCACCAGTGTTTCAAAACAACTTTCTTGACTTAATGTAGTATCTATAAGGTTTAACCCTCTTGCCTGATGGTTCTGCTCTGTACCCCTTGGTTCTTATAAAATCAGTCATTCACCTTATAGCCTGGCTCTCGCAACATGAGGTGCTGTGAGTGCACAAAAGCAAGATCTTAAGGTAAAGCAAAATCAATCAAACAAACAAAATTACAAAAAAAGGCCTTAATAAGCCTTAATATTACCAAGAGAACAGCCGAGCACCGGAAGGCTTCCAATCCTAGACAACACACTTGCTGCCAAGCAGAGGGGGAATGAGCAAGTAAGAGCTATTTTGCTAGTCCCTTGAGGAACTTAAGTGATTTGTTTCACTAGCTTAGTGTTGCTGCAGCCTGGGGACCCATCAGTGCCACAAATACAAGCGTATTTTTACAGTGAGTTTGTAACACTCATCTGACCCAACTAGTTCAAATGTGATATGTCAACTGCCAACATTTCCCAGTGTCTTCTGGGGAAATTAAGGCAAGAGTCCTGCAGCGTAGCTAGTGTGAAACATGTGCCCGCATGTTTGGACCATGTGCTCTGGGGTACTCTGCAGCCTAGAGCTAGCCAGGAAAAGGGCCTTGCCCCACTGGTCAAACATGCATTGTCTGGGGTATCAGGTCAGGATAAGAAAATGATGCAGAGCTTAACTGAACTGGAGCGGCTCTGTAACTGCTAACAATGAAGTATTGTAAAGATGAATTCACGTCCTTAGGTAACCCGGTATGTTTCACTGTAACAAGCCAGGTTGTTAGGTGAATGCAAACAAAAGCGTGCTACCTTGGGTGCTATGTTTGCCTGGGGTTTCCTACCTTACTGTGAGCGCGAAAGGAGGTGATAGATAGAGGGTACATCTATGAGCCTTTACTTACTGGACAAAAATAATGGGCTTACTCTTTGGCACAGATACTTAACAGAAGAGCAACAGTCAAGTTTATGTCCCTCGTGGCTTCTAAAAATGCTGTTCTTGGTATTTCAACCCTATCTAATGACCAACAGTAACTCACTAAAGTTTCCTTGGATTTACTTCTCCCCACGCAGCATCCAGCATTCTGTGCTGAAAGCCAAATCATTGGAAGAAGAACTAGAAGAAGCAAAAAACAACCTGAACTTGTCAGAAGAGACGAGACGGCAGATTCTCTGCCAGAATAAACAGCTAGTAAGTGCTCTTATTTCTTAGCTTACATTGTACAGCATCTCATATCTTGCTGTAGCAATGGCTTGACCTCTCAGACCATAAAAATCAGTGCTATGACCTTCTCTGAACCAGTAGGTACTGAAGCTTTTTGAGGAAGTTTGAAATGTGGTTTATTAGTGTTACAAAAACACTATGAAGTTTTTGCATGGAAGTTTCTTTAAGTTATTGTCAGTTGCAATGAAGAAAACAATTACAAGGACCAGTCTCACATATAATTATGCTTAAAGACAACAGCTCTCATGCCGCCATCGAGCCATGTCTCTTTTCAAGCTGGTGATGTTCTGCTAGAAATTCATGTGGCTTTTCTGGAACGAGCAGGGACAGGAGACTCTGTTCAAATGTCAACACAAAAGCGTCATTTTTCCGAAACACCCCTAGGTTATTGTCAATGTCCGTATGGGCTGGCAGGCATGACAAGGGCCTATCAGAAAGCTGCTGACTCTGGACTGACAGCTGGAATCGAGGCAGCACACCTTGGCATGTCTCAAAGGGCACGAGTTGTCTACACAAGTACATCTCAATTGCACCCCAGGTGACTGAGTAGCGAAGCCTGTGATTGTAAGAGGTGTAAAGCAGCCTGGTAATGAGGCTGCTGTGGCTGCAGCTTTAGCAGGTGTTGCCAGACACCAGTGGGTAGGCTTTCCAGGGAACATATGTTTGCATTGCTGCCATGTGTGTTGTTCACACTACAGTGGCATCTCTGCATCTTGCTGCGTGGGAGTAGGTGTAAATTGATGTTCCATAGCTCTGTGAACTGCTGATGGTGGGTATTTGGAAATCAAAAGAAGTCTTCCATGCTGAACAAGAACACAAGGTGCTATCCTGCTGCAGTGTGTGTATATTTTTGTTTTTTAAATTCGGATTACATGCACAATTCACCTTTTGAGAAGGAGATGGGGTAGGAGGGAGAAATATTATTAAAAGTTTCGGAGTTGTGCTTATAAACCCCGTTAGCTACTGTTCCCTGTGCAGTGGAGGCACAGAGTGAGGTGCTACTACCTTTCTTGGTGCCTGATAGGACAAAATTGTAGTGTGGCACATAAGCTTTCCAGGTTTGTCTTAACTCAAGCTTGAGCGCAACTAGACTTGCTCACTCTGCCTCCTTCCTATCATCTAGTGGTCTGAGTTTTACTCTGATTTGAAATGCCTGGGTCAAACCCTCCAAAGAGGGTTTACAGGCTGGACCAGCCTCAGTACTCCCCTTTTTTTCTGTGCTCTCTGAAGCAAGGGAATGCAAGCCACGGCTTTGTATTTGGCCCTGGATGTGTCTGCATCTGTGGCTTTTTGGCTTAGTTTGGCTTTGAATGTTGAACTTGACATGCTAAAAATTACTATTTTGCTTTCTCCTTTTTTTCTTTTTTTTTTCATAAACCTGATCAGGAAAAAGAAAATCAGTCTCTCATCGTCAAAATTACTTCTCTTCAGGAAGAGGTAAAATAAATCATGATTTTGCAAGTACTAGTTCTTCTAGCTAAAAGCTCACGATTAAGAAATGAGATGTTTGTCAGACTCTGAAGCCTGACATGCTAATTAGGTTATCAAAATATCTTACATTTTACAAGGATGACTTATCATAAAACTTCAGGGTATGAAGTTGCACTGTGCTTCAGACTTCCCGTTTGCTGCACAAGTAAGGATATAAGTTTGGGAACTATGGTGGACACGGACAAACAGCTTTTTTCCCCCCTCTTTTTCAAAGCTTTATAGATAAAGTCCAAACATTTCTAGTTAACGTAGCTATAAATATACTAATTCTAAATTGAAACAATTTCCTCTAACACTTTTTCATTTCATATTCACGTCTGTTTCTCTCCAAGATCCAAAGGAAGAGCCCTGTATAGAGCTGTAACTCCAAAAAAATGCAGTGGCTGGGGGCTCCACTCACAGATAGATCAATTGACACTGGCCGAGGACCTACAGGAGGCTTGTAGGGAATACACTACTAATGGAGCTACATCTCTACTCTAGGCTCTTTTCTTTTCCTTTTTTTTTTCTTTTTTTTTTGTTCAGATGAGAGCTATTCATTCTTTCTTTTATTTATTTCATTAAAGTAAATATTTTATAAACCAGTTTTTATCAGGTAATGTTTCAATACTTTCTTACAGCCTGTATTACAGACTATCTAGGAAGAAACAGAGAAATAGGTTAAGTCATACATAGTAATGAAAAGAAGCACCTCATGGATTCAGGAATCTATTATCTATTATAACAACATGGCAGTCATTTTTCTTTGAATGTTTACCGTGCTCAAGATTAGTCTTTCTGCAAAGCTCTTAAGTCCTAATAGCTATTAAGATGCATCTTTCAAAAAATGATTCTCATGCTGTAGGCCTGAAAGCTTTTCTTTAGCTTTCTAGGTCTGGTAGTGCTTATAAATCATATTTTGAGGTTTTCTGTTTTAACACTGCTCTGAAGGAATGAGAAGGAAAAGGCAGCAGAAACAGTTTTGATGAAGCAAGCACATACAATGTATGTGCATAAATGCTGGTAGTGCTTTAGAGTAGGCAGGAGCTTGGGGGTGGAGATGTCATTTTGCCTAGTTTCTCCAAGGAGAAGCTGTCAATCCATTCAGCTGTGCCTAAACAGTCTGTATCTTGTTCAGAATATTAGGAATAGCATGGACACCGATGGACTTCAAAAGAAGATTTTGGAGCTGTCTAAAAATGCAGCAGAGCTTCAAGTAAGCATTTCGGCTCTAGGAGGAACAAAAAGACAGCCTACAGTTTACTCCGGTCTAGTGAGGGGGATTTCTACCTCAGGGCTGTCTACCTTCCAGAACCTGTCTGTATTAAAGAATTGCAGTGCAGTCGTAGCTTGGACATTGCGACAGCTTTGACCAAGAAAGTTGCTGTCTGGAGGCTAAAAAATGAGCTAATATAAACAACCCACCGTTTCATTGTTTCCTCTAAGTTAAACTTTTAGGAAGCCTTTTCGCCACTGTTTGAGAAAATATGTCAGAAAGTCATGCTTTGGCTGATGTTGCTGAAACTATTAGCTCGGACAGACAAGATGAGGAAACAAAAGTGACTGTGAAAGCTGAGAATGCTTTCAGTTTTAATTGGGTACAAGATGAACTTTGAAGCACACCATGCAAGGTATTCAAAGAATAATTTGATTTTTCTAAGGAAGGAATATTGGTACCTGTTTTACCTTCCAAGCAGGAGAGAGGAACAGACTTGCAGTGTATACTGATGACTGGAATTCTTTTTGATCTTTTCATTTTTCAGATCCAAGCACAGATCTATGAGAACACTATGGTAAATAAAGAGGCAAGCTTGATCCAGGTTAGTCGCTTTTAATTCATTACTGTCTTGACTGAAAATACTGACTATGGGATGATTTGTAAAAAGGCAAGGCAAAAGTCTTCACTGTGGCACTTTTATTTCTACTGTTCTCACACTACAGAACCTGATCCTATAAATGGCTCCAAAGTAGGCGAGATCTGCTTTAGAACCTGATTATGAGTCAGCATAATTAAAGGCTTCAGGATTTGCTTTTATTTTTTTTTTAAAAAAGGCACAACCTGTTAAAACAAAACAAACTTGCAAACTTCAGAAAAATGTACAGAAACCTCTAAAGGCTACTTCCTTCAACGGCTGCTAAAAGAATGTACCTGCAGAAGATCCTTCCCTTCATGTTTTTTTACTTAAGTTGCTTAATTTTTATGTCAAACTAGAAACAGTGATCCAGAGCCCAATGGAAAAACAAATTCCTTTCTCATCAATGAGGTGTAAATATCTAGGCTTTACTGAAGAGTGAACACTTCTAATGATGTTTTTAAACTTGTAATTTGTATTAGAAATCAAAGACATAAGACTGCATAAGGGTGTTGACATTCTCTGGATTCATGAATTGTGCAAATAGCCTTCTAAGCTAATGGAGTTTCTATTTAGCAGAATATGTTCTAAATCAGCTGATGAAATATTTGACTATTAGTCTGTCTGCAAAAAAGAGTGCAGCTGAAGTCAAATAGTGACAAGAGAGAACCTAACTTCAATATGATCCAGCTGATAATTTTGTAGATGAGTATGTCTTAATAGTTGGGGGTTTTTGGCCAGAAGCAGCTTAAGGGCACAAATGAATTAACTTTTTTAAATTTTTTAATAGCTTTCACTTTCTCCTCCTTGAATAAGTCAAAGCTTCTGGAGTATCCTTTTATTCTAAAAAGTTTTTTTTTTTTTAGTTTGACTAAATGGGAGTTTTGAAATCGGACTGCTAGATTGCATGTTCTTGTAGATAAAGGTGACTGGTTTGTATAATCTTGAAGAAACAGGTGTGGAAACCTGACTTTGCTTGCTGGCATTAGGATCTGTGTGGGATAAGGGTTTCCCTGTAAGCTAAAAAAATCCCTCTCATAGCTCTTTCTCCAAAGGCAGATTGGATAGGATTTATGGTCGCTGAAAATCATGACAACCTTTCTGTTCCAGGACTGCAGAAGGCATGTGAAGATAGAAAACACTTTAAATTTTTCACCCTTTTTTTTTTTTTTTTTTTTTACTTAAACCTTCAGCACTATACATCAGTTGTCTCTGCCAAGGCTGGAAACCTGGTTCTATAACCTTACTTTTCCCGCTTATATTTCTGTGTATTTCACCTCTTTCAAAAACCTCAATTATTTTTAAAGAGGAAGAGTAGGAAGAAGTTATAAAAGGGGTGGGAGGACGAGAGTGCCTACTTGAAGTTCCTGTTTTCTTGAAGAAATTCTCTGCTTGTCTGTGCAGTGCCCTCTGTTGTAATGCCGTAACATGACTGAAGCCCACTGCTCGTTTATGATGCTAAGAAAGCCGCTACTTCTACTAACCCCTCAGTCTTACCATGAGGGTTTATAAGTTCCCCATCAGCCCTTCCATTAGGCAGGGTTTAATCCGCAGAGTACTACGCTGTATGCCCTTAATCATGAAAACTAATAACAGTAAACCTGAAATGTTGCAACTTGTTTTAAGGGTCAGTTAAGATTAAAACTCATGCCAAGGATAATATAGTCCAGGTTTTCAGCTAAAACTAGGGTACTTCTGTCTAGTGTGATCTGATACTGCTGGTACAGTAACCAGCTAAGTAATAAAGCACAGCACCTGGAAAGAGATTTTCTGTCTCCTCAATTTCAGAAGTTACACAGAAAAGGTCTTCCGAGTACTTTCTGTTAGCCGTTGTGCAAGGTAATTGACTGTATTCTTTTAAACTTGCAACTATTTTTGATGTTACTTAATTAGATTCCTGCTCAAACCTAAATTGTCCAGTTTGCTGCTGTGATGTAGGATTGAGTATCGTATTATTTTGGTCACAAAGCATGAGAGCTGTAACTACTACAAATTCACTTCAACGTGCTAGTTGTCGGGTTGTGTACTTTAAAGGCTCTTTTCTTCACAATCTCTGCAGAAGGAGCAGGACATCAAGGAACTGAAGTTAACCATTGTGGAGTGTTCCTCAATAATAGAGGTATGGGACCTGAGTTTAGTTTTTGACTATGTGAGGGGAAAGCATGCATATCCTATGCTTATTCTGCATGACAAACTAACACTCTAACCAGGTCTGATGTATGTTTTAGACTTTACGGGCAGAAAAAAATAAGCTACTGGAGAACATACAACACATGCAGCAAGAGCTTATCTCGTGAGTATTGTGGGCAAGTAGGAGGAAATATAGTTCATCAAAAGTCAAAAAAAAGGCTTATACTTTTTTTTTTTCTCTGCTTCTTTTAGAAATGGGTTGAGTTTCCCATTGCTGTGTAAATTTAACAGTGATATTCCTGAAGGGATGAGTTCACTGCACTGTGAACTGGAACTTGCTCAGTCTTCTGAGGTATGAATCAAATCTTTATTGAATCTCACCCCAGCTGTCTTGCATCAGTAAAGGAAGAACAAAGCTCATTCCCTGTAGATCATTAGTAACCCTAGAACTCAAAGCCATTAGTCCTAGCACGCAAGCATACAATGTGAAGGTTACAATATTGTCCCAAGTACATTGGAGAAAGTCCAAAGAAAAGCAAACAAAGCACTTGGAAATTTAAAAAATGAGACCTACAGAGTAAATCTGGAAGAGCTAGGGTCATGCATTTAGCTGGCAGAAGAACAGACTGATAGGAGAAGATGTGAGTTTTCAAATACATAAAGGCTATTATGCTGAAGAAAGTAATGGTCTGTTTTCTTCTTCTATACTGCCTACACTGGACAGAAACAGTGGGTTTCAGTTGCAGGAGGGGAGACTCCTTTTTCCTTGAAGTTTAATGTAGTGAAAAAGAAAATTAAGCATTAGAGTAAGCATCTTGACAAGATTGTAGAGTCTTCACCTAATTTATTCTTTAGAAACCTTGACAAGCATCTGTCTGTAGGTACCATTCCCTTGCCCTCAGCGGGTATAATGGAGACCAATCCTTAGAAGTCCTGTCCAGCTTTTATTTTCCTGAGGCCTTTGGATAGGAACTTAGAGGAGGACTGGCACAGGCTGACAAAATCTTAGCACTGCAGTTGAGCCTCTTGGTTTGGAGTTGTAGTGTTCCCCATGCCCTCTGCAGAACACCCCACAGGTGATCTGGTGACTTTTGGGAGCTACACTTCTGATCAGATAGACTTCACATAACACTAGAAGTGTGGTCCCTAATTTACTGTTCTTGTAGCTTTCTGGCTCTCCAATGGAGAACTAGTTGGAAAAAAACAATTTACGTGTGCATTATGGGTTTGGTTCAGATTTTTATCTGAGCTATTCTTTGCCCATTTCCCTAAAGACGTTCCATGGACTCCCATCCTTCCTTACAGTGCTGTCTTCCCTTTAGATGCAAGATGTGCAGCAGAGCTGATTACAAATATCTAGTATTGCAGTGATTTTTCTTGTAAGCCTTCATCGTGCTGCTACTTGCTTTTGTGTGCGGTGCGTTTGCAGAATTAGCACTTGCAACAGAAAAAAAAATAATCTACTAATGGACTAAAACTACAGACCCAGAAATGAGAGGTATGCTTCGCTAGGCAGCTCCATTTCAAAAGTAACATATTGTCCCTTGTTGCATCTCCCCACAGCCACAGTGAGTCACTGTGTTTACCTTTCAAATGCTGTAATGAGACAAGATTCCACCAAATCACCTGTAAAGCAAGTAGGGGCTCTGCTTATTCATCACTTGGTAAAGCCTCTTCTGAATAAAGATAACTAATTATTGACTTCCTCTTGCCTACTCCTGACGTGAAAATTTACATTGGATCACTCAGCAGCTTGGCTGGCTTGCCTTTTTTTTTTTTTTTTTTAATTCCCATGACATGATGGTTTTGAAAAGCTTTTACAACCTTTAAGTTTCAGTAGCTCTGACCTTCTGGTAAATATGATGCAGGGATACTTCAGAAAAGTCTAAATGTCACTGATGCTGGATTGTAATAAGGAGATGTCAAAATAAGCTAGCTGGCTCTTCCATCTCTTCAAAGATTACCAAGACTGAATGGACATCTCTGGATGAGACGCTGGACCGTGAAGTGCTGTTTTTACTTCAGGGACCTGAATATGTGGGAGAAAAATTTAAGACTATCATGCAAAACCTGGTCAGTGGTAAAGATTATGTGAATAAGGATGTGATTTTTCTGTCGGCCTTTTAATTAGGATTTCTCCAAACACCGATAATCAGGTTGCGTTTACTCCTTCTGGAAAAAATATTAGCTTCCGGGGGGGGGGGGGCTCCTTACTCTAACAGTATCATTTGGCACCTACTCTAACACTGTAATTTATAACCTGGGTAATTCTGGGCAGGATTGTGTCACACTTGTACTAGAAATGCCAGGGTTTGGGTTTTTGTTGGGTTTGAGATTTTTGGTTGTGGTTTGTTTTTTTGGGGGGGTTTTGTGTGTGTTGTTGTGTGTTGTTGTTGGTTTGTTTGTTTGTTTTTTTCAGAAAGAGGAAGTTTCTGAAGCAGAGGAGCTTGTCATGACTTTACAATGGGTAAAAGATCCTGATGTGAACATGCAACAGGCTTGGGAAAGAAAACTTGTGGTAAGTAACTGTTTCTCTGAAGATATTTTTTTTAAATACTGGGGCTGTGCAAAAGCTTAAGGTGAGTATCTTGCTGCATGCTATGTGTAATTGATTACTCAAGATTATAGCAGCCCACCTGGAGGTCAGGGATGGCTCTATGGAGAGAAATATATTTTGTAACGTCTTTTTTTTTGAGGCGGGAAGGGGATGATTACTTTTCACTTAAATGCTGTACTGTTCCTGACTTGTGCAAGATCTCACTTTGTTAAAACAGTGCTTGAAGGAAAGGGTAGATGAAGCAAATCTTTTTGAAGAGGAAAATGAGGTCAGATGACAACACTACATTGTGTGAGCTATGAAGCTTTTCTGCTCACTGCACGTTTCTGTGTGCCTCAAGCATCTGTTTTCCCTTATGCTCTGAAGCTGACTACGGTAGTGGACGATTTCACCATCAGGAGGAGGAATCAGGTGACTTTATAACCAGATTTCCAAGACAAAACTTTCATAGGGTTTGCTTTCTTCTGAAAAGCAAATTGTTCCACTTTTGCTGGACACACTACACAGGAAAAGTTTATATGAAAACATGCTTTTACAACTTAATCTTGCATAATGTATTTTTTATGTATTTTTTTTTTACTGTTCCTCATACCTCCTGTAAGGATTGAAAGTAAGGACTTTTGCTCAAGGTAACTGGCAAGAATAACTACCCTGTGTGGTAGCAGCAGTCTGTGGACACAGCTGAACTCTCTTGCTCTTGTTCCCTCCTCCCATCCCATCTAACACTATGGTTTCTGAAATTCTCATCTCACTGGATGCAGCTTTTCCTTTAACCTGCTCCTTCTTACTAATCTGTTGCAAGGAACACTGCTGCAGAAACTTCCACCAAACTGTATATTAATGCTGTCTTCCAGCTCCTTAATAGATGCAAAACCCTCAGTTCATCGCACTTGGGTAGTGGCAGGTGGCACCACAGTACTTGCTGTCTTAAGCTGTCAGCTTTTCCTCTAGTGCTGCAAAGTGTAGCTGGCCCTCTTCATCTTTCCTGGGCATGTGGAAGCAATCATTGGAGCCATCCAGCCCTGCAGCCAGCTTTTTGTAGCTTTTTCTTCTTTATGTAAATCCTGAAAGCTTCACCTTGGAGAAGGTGAAAACTGTTTCAGTCTCCTCACCCTGGTGTGACTTTGGATAGAGTTTGGGAAACTGCTGGCTCATGCATTGCTGTAACTTCTTGATCTTGACTGAAAACTTCCTTTTTCAAAGATGTCACAGCTGAAAATACGCTCATTAACATACCATTCATGTTGGGATCGTATTCTTGTTAAACATGTGAGGCTAAAAACTCCTGATGTTGATCCAGTCAAATGAATCCCATTCTGGCTCCTAGAAAGTGATGCATTTGGAAACTAAGCTAACAGAGGATCAAGGAAGAACAAGATTCTTCAACAATAAAAGGTCCTGTCCTGAAACCCACGGGGATGGGAAGTGTCTTCACGTCAAACATACTGTCTTCACCTAGCTAGAACCAGCCACATGTGTGGGAAATATGGAACTGGACAACAGTAGACCCAAACAAAGAAATATTTGAAGTGGCTTCTTCCAGCCTTAGAGGAAGCTTTTATAAAAAAGGAATTGGACTATGCACTATCACTTGAAGCCTAAACACTTCCCCACCATTTCCTGTGAAATGTATTACGGACATGTTTGCTGGGTTTTAGTGTTTTTTAAGTATGTTTTAAAGTATATTGCACATAAAGTAAATCTTAAGTGTGCCTGTGTTTTTATGTGTATATACATACATTTAAGCATAAGTAGATGGTGACAGTAAAAACTTTTTCACCCTTCTCCTGCAGGAAGATAAGACTGTGGCCCATGTGCCCTGATAAGCCTATACCACTTGCACGTCAAAACCATGTTATTTTGAACAGCAAGTGCTGCCTGCCTTGGCTGAGAAACTGATCTTCAGGATGTGGGCGTTTGCACATGGTCACATCCCATGTCATCCTAGTAAACTTATCTAGCAAAACTGCTCAGGCTCTTTTTTTTTTTTGTAGCATGATACTTGATGTGCTAGACTTTGTTTTGTTTGAAGCTCATGAACAACATTAGACTCTAACTTGCAAGTAGGTAACGTGGCCCATATTTGTAGGACTGATGTTTTCCCCTTTGACCTAATGTAAAATCCCAGAGATGTGAACCTCAGTCTTCCCTGACCTCTCACTGACTCTCATTAAGCATTTTTTAAAAGCTGAGGCCTCTATTGTGTATGTTCAACTGAACAAGGTCAGAGAAAGAGGATGGGACTCTTCTTTCTTGGTACTTTGTACTGTAAGTCAATGTTCAGAGAAATACAGCAGATGCAATGTTACTTAATGCTTCATTTTTACCATCTTCCACTTTTTCTTCCTATAAATCAGAGGTAAAACTGAAAGCCTTTGTCACAGGGGTCATCCCTTGGACACATTTCATCTGCTAGGCATGTGTGACAAACTGAAATATGGATTTATTGGGTTTTGGTTTGTTGTGTTTGTTTTTTTTTTTCACTTTGCTGTAATACAAACTCAAATTGGTGCCAGTGGACTTGGTTGTACTTTGAAGAAAGGGTCACGGAAGTCTAAATTATCAGTTTTAGGGCTTCCTGCAGGATGGTCATTATAAAACTTCCCCTTATGAAATATGTTTTTTTGTTGCTCTATCTGGGCGTCCTGTAATGGAGTTTATCTGGTATAAGTTGTAAAGACTCCCTCACGCACTGTGTAATCTCCTGCCCCACTAACCATAAATACTTGCTAACAATATATTTGTTTTACAAGGGATAAAGAGGACTATCTGTGTACCCTCACTTTTGACTTAGAAGTAACCTTTTGAAAGAAGTGGGAGCCATTTGTCCAATTAAACTAGCATACAGAAGACTTACATTTTCTTGTGCAAACTGCTAGGCGTTGATCCATCTAAAAAAAAAGTCTTAAAGTACTAACCCTTTGTAGGAGTCTAGCCTGTCTGTCCCCATATGCCATCAGATTCAGGAATTGGAAGGCACAGGTTTGAAGTCTAGGTAGCTTTGTTAACCTATTAGACTGCACAAAACACTGTTTTGTACAAAACAAACACCCATTTCTCCTTTATAATATCTTTCTAATTCAAATGTATTTTTCCTCATTTCTCTCACTCCCCCAACCAGACACTGTGTGAGAAGATTACAAATTATTGTTGATCATTCACCTTTATTGCTGATAGTGTTGGATGTAGGTGATGATACTAAATGGTAGAGTAGGGAAATCATTTCTCATTATATGAATTGGGGCTCTGGTTTACACTCTGGCTTTGCTCCTCATCCAACCACATGGCAACTCAGTTTCAAAACTTCACAGGTTCTCAAGCAAGAACTAAAAGAAAAAAGACACCTTTGGATCCAGAAACTTCATCTCTTAGAAAAATGCAGAGAATCCCTAGACAAGGATTTTATTCGAATGGCAGGCAACCTGAGGAGAACAAAGACAGAACAACTTCACCTAAGGAAAGAGCTCTCTGCCAGGTACCACTTCAAAGCATGTCTGTCTGGGTTTATGTTGTTGGTTTTTTATCTGTTTAGTGGTTGTTGTGTTGTTTGGTTTTTTTTTTTTCATTTTTGGGTTGGGATTTTTGCCTTGTGGAACAAAGTTTACTGAATTCTGAAGACTTTTTTTCACAGAGAAAAGTATATCTGCTGTTTTGGAGTGTGGATCTGGCTTTGGCATAATGTTTACACTATGTGGGAGTTAAGGTTTGTGTATGAAATAACATACCATCTTGGAGATGTATTTGAAAACACCAGGGAGACCACAGACAGAGCAGTCAAAGTAAGAGGGCACGGCCTATCTAGCAGGTGCAACCATTAAATAAACTGCTGGCTTTGTGTGAAGCAGAAGACCTGTGGAAGATGTGCCTGCAGGTGTTACTGCTTTGGGAGACAACTGCTAGTCCCAGTCGATATACTGTCTCAGTTTCTCAAGGGTATAACTTCAGTGAGATATCTCACTAAATATGAAAATGTAACTTTAAATTTTAGTTTATTGGTATGTGGTTCCGGGTGTGGGTTTTGATGTCACAGATATGGCAGCAAAAGACAGCAGGTGTAAACCTCTGCCCACCTGCCCTCCTCTCCTCAGACACTCAGGGAAGTAGCTAGTCAAGTGTTTGTTTTTTTTCCAGAGCAGCCAATCTGAATTTGTTGTCTTTGTAGAACCCAGGCTACTCATAGTGTCAGCTTTCTGCTATCCTACACTAAACGTAAATTTTTGCACGCCTGACTTTACCTGGGTTTGGGCTGTGAGCAGCTTCCTAAGGCTCTACATCCCTGAGAGCTAACGTGGAGCAATCATGCTGCACTTCTGCCTGACTTCTCTTCCACTAAGCATTGTTAATGTAGACCTCCCACATGCTCTCCCTTCACTCAGAAAAGAGTTGATAAAAATACTGATGGCTTGGTTTCTTAAAGCTGCCTCTCTGTATCAAAATTGTTTATGGTGGTAGCAACAAGGAAAAAAAAATGAAATGAGTTGGAGAAGAAATGGGCAAAGGGTTTCTGCAGTGGAAAAGAAAGGGTTACTCAAAAGCCATCATCTTTAGAACCGGTTCTGATTGCATCTGCTTGCTGTCAAGTGAAATACCCTCTGAAATACCGGGAAATTAATCTGATGAAGCTGTATATCTGCAGTAATGGCTCCAGGGTATCTTTTTCCAGAATGATTGACTTCATATTTGATTACTATTTCTCCCAAACCATGAGACAATGCATTCTTTTGACCAAATTGCAAAAGTTTACCCCACTAACCTCTTGCTCCCTGAGAGTTCTCTGGATATTCCACAAGTTTCCACTACGGTACCCAGCTGGCTGGGGCTCACACAGCCATTGCACCGTTCATCTGGGGAGAAACCTGGGAAAATCTCCATACCCTTCCTAATTTTGGAGCTGCTCTAACAACTCCCCGTCTGCCTCCTAGCACTTGTGCTTAGCAAGAACTAAGCCCCTGATGCTGGATCCTGAGGAGCTGCAATATGTAACAGCTGAATGTGGTTCTTGATGCATGTCTCAACAACCGGTGTGCGCTGCCTCCCAGGCACATGCCTGCTCTAAAATGTCAGTAACGGATTGCGGTTTGCGTTCTCTCACCCTGCAGGCAACGTGAGTTAGAAACTGTCAAACAGTTGCACGAAGAAACTGCTGGCCAGGCAGAAGCCCTTGGTTTAGAGCTGCAAAAAGCTACGAAGCAGCTTGAGGATGCCAGCAAACAGGTAAGGGGCGGTCTAGTTGCTTCTATGCAGGAAACAGGCAAGTAGATGCAAAAGGCTACGTACGATGCATTGCTGCTCTTGGGAAAGGAAATCGCATGTTCGGAATGGAGTGCCTGATTGCAAAAGTGGAACCGGCAGAGGAAGTCAAATTTGAGGGGGTGGTGACAACAGTTTGCTGATGAAAGAGGCAGAATTGCATATTTGTGGTGGCTTAAAAAAAAAAAAAAAAGAGGAAGAAAAAAAACCCAAAAATAGCTTCCATACACAGTCCACCCCAATGTAAAAATGCAGAAGTTCAGAGGGAGCTTTATCACTTCCTGAGAAAGAACAGATGCAGTTTGGTTTCATTTATATGAACTGTAGAGGCTCCTTGTGTTAGCTAGGCTGCTTTATTATCTTTTTTCATTCCCTTGTTTTTTCTTAAGTATTGTTTTGTGCTTAGGCGGAGGATCAAGTTGAAGCCTTTCACTCTGCTTGTGAGGAAGCCGCATCCTTGAAATGCAAGTTAGAGGAAGCCATTTCTGAGCAGCAAAATCTCAAGGATATGAATGCAGCTCTAACAAGCACTTGCCAGTGGCTTCAAGAAAAGGTGGAAGACCAGAAAAGTGAGTAACGCCTGGCAGTGGGCCAGCATGCACTCTTGCATGGGCGAATGCTTTATGGTTTAGTTATGGCAAGAGGGAATAGGACTGATCTGCAGGTCGTCCGGTAAAATGCTTTGTCTTTTTTTTTTTTTTTTTCTCCTTCTTTCTTTCTATTTTTCTTTCTCTACTGAGAGATCTACAACCATAGCATCTGGGCTGAGAACGAGGTGGGATCCCAAAGAGTGGGTGTTAGGCTGGAACAAAGCTGCAGAACCTCCTGGCAAAATCTCCAGTCCTAGGAGGAAGGGCTAGTAACTCCATGGGTGGCACTGGCACTCCTTTACCGACGGTGCTGTTCCCACCCCTGAATAGCCCACCTTATTCCTAACAAAGTCATCCCTCTTTCTTAAGCTTTCTGTGCCAAATAGACCCGAGTTTTATGTTCTGCGTTCTGCTTGCTGCTTGTATTTGCTTTGTGGTTTTTAATAACTGCACAGCATTAGGCTGTTCTCTTCAGTAGAAAGCAATCGTGTCGTTGCATCATACACGTGCAACTTTTGCTACGGAACCATGGAAACTTCGTACTACCTCTTGCTCACTTGCTAATGTCAACACCTCAAAAAGCTTCGGCAATTAAGGAATGCAGTGGTTTGGTTCCAGCACATGTGGCTCTTTCTTTCCAAATTCTGGAGTGCAGATCACTCACAGGAAAAAAAAAATTTAGTGACTTTAAACCCACTGAATGTTTGGCTTCAGGCATGCATTTCCCAGGGCAATGTGACTGATGCTCAACATATATGTGCATTGTAAACAACTTTAATTTTGTCTTGTAGGTAAATTTACATGGGTCCCTACATCTTAGTTCTAAGACACAACTGTTAAGCACTGATGTGGCAGAAACAGCTCCAGACTGTTTGCTGACTTCTGACCAATATTTTGGCACTGTTCAAGTGTGTGCACTCATGTTGCTTTCATGAGTACTGCTTCCTTCAAACAGTGGGGTGGTTTTTTTTTTTTTAGCAAGAGGCATAACAATGGAAATAGTGTGTCATTTTCCAGCTCTCAATAGACAAAGCTCTTCAAAGAGAGCTAGAGTAAATTAAAAGAGAGAACCTTGGACATGTGGAAGAGATTGGTGGAATTGTGACTCCAAAAAGAAAAAAAAATATTAAGAAACCTCAGAGAGACCTCCCAAAAACCACTGTCACCCTGAAAATGACTGAGACTCACTTTAAATTAATTCAAGTAGTTTGGAGAAATCTTTCTGTAGTTAAACAGAAATAAACTGGTAGATGTGTAGAGAAGTTGCAAAGTGTTATGAAGAACAGGGCTGACAAACAGGGATGGGAGTAGGGGAGGACAACACTTTACATTGGTACCTGCAGAAAGACAGACAGGTCTAGTGCCCCTTCTGACCGAAGGGCAGGGCTGTGGTCTCTTCTCCACCCACATACCCACTCCAATCCTCTATTTCCTCCCACCTGTGAGGTAAGAGATTAGAAATTAGGGAACCTGTTGGCCGAGGAAACTACTGCTCAACCTAAGCCTGGCACAGCTGCTTCTATGTTTCAGAGGTCTAATCTGAATCTTGCCACTAATTGCTACAGCCCTCATCTGGCAAAAAAGCTGAACAAGCTGCTGAGAGCTGCCTTCCATTTTTGCTTGGGCACTGAAGTGACAGTGCTAATGAGATGTCCTTTCACCACCACCACCTCCCCCCAACCCCCATTATTAGCTGCAGTAGAAAAGCTATGATAGACTTACATCAAGCTAGAAGTCACCAGAGGCAGGCTCTGGCACTACCGAACTTGAACAGAGGATGTTTCTAAGTATAATGTAAAGCCCATCGACTTTAAAACTTCCGTACAGGATGTCAAATTGGAAGGACAAATGCTTCTCTCCAAATAGGTCATAATGGAGTTGTTCATTTCCCTAGGGAACTGTGACACCTTAACGCTGGCGATGTGAGGAAGCTCTGCCTCCCCTTTATAGCAAGGGGAAACATAACCACAGGGAAGAAAAAGTGTCCCGTGTTTTCAGTGGGGTGGAACTCCCAAAACAAAAATGCACTTCTAAAATTCTCTTTCCTGTGAAAAACTGTTGTAGATATAACTGGACTAAAGCAAAGTACAATGGGTTTTTGATAGGCAGTAGTCGGGTTTAAAGACGCTATAACATCCGACTACTTGTTATCAAATTACAAGGAACTCTGCAAGACTTGTAAATGTCTCTTCATAGCAACTGCTAATGAGCTGAGATGGGAACTGCTTCAAAGGCGACTCTGTGAATTGCTGTGTCAGGTATGACGCTTGTTTGGTGGGAGAAGAAAAGGTAGGCTTACACAGGAGGTGCTCTGGTGGAAGGACATCTACAGCTGAGATGAACCGCAAGTGATGTGGCAGCATCTGATTTCTTCTTTTCTAATATGCACGTAATTGCGGAGGCAGTAAACGGTCTGCACTGATCTGAACACTATTGTTTTCATTCTTCTGCCTTCAGGGGAAAAAATGGGCTAGAACTTACACGTATGGTGTTGGTCTTCTCTGTGAAAAATTGTTGGTGATCGTATCAAACGGGGCTGAGGGAAGCTTTCCCTGATGCATTGGGGTGATTTGGCCTCCCCAGTCAGCCCCCTCCTTCTGCAGACAGTCTTGAAAACTAAAGTTAAATCTTGTAATAAAATATCTTCCAATATCCAGATAGCGGCATAGGCAGAGAAACACTACCTTTGTGCTCCTTTGTGGAAATATGTTGGAAATTATATAACTCTGGAGTGCCTTGCTTTGAATAAAAATACTTTCTTCAAGTTTGGAAGGGGGTGGAGGGGGAGATGTTGTGGGAAGACTTTTTTTTTTTTTTTTTTTTTTCCCCCAACCACCTCTAGTAAGGAACGCTATAGCTCTGGGTCTGAACAGTCTGGATTTAACATAGAATAACAAGGTATATATAAAGACAAACAGATGATCCTAAAATGTATCCTGGGCTGTAACAGGGGCATCGGAGGAACAGAATCAAAACCATGGACCACCTGCATGTGAATAAAACTTGTATTCGTGCATAAAGGTCTGCAGAATTAAAGGCTGAAAGTAGCAAGGGGAAACAACTGCCTGGTTTTCCTCATAGCTGAAAATAGTTTAATTAGAAAGATTAAATTCTGGTTTGTTCGTAATCAGTAGTAGTGTTCCTCCTCTCTTTCTACACTGTTTTTCTTCTACGTCTGCCTGCCTTAAACTATTTCTCTATCGCAACAGTGCTGTGCAGAGTTAGAATCTGACTACCGTCTGCTGCCCACATCAGCTGAGCCACTGAAAGAGAAGGTAAGCGCGCTTGCTATGACCTTTGCTGAGCCTGTTAAAATGTGATGCTCGTTTTGTTTGTTCTTATTTTTTTTATGACCTTGTCAGAAACTTCGCCAAGTTAAATATTCAATAAAAATAATTTGATACATGTTTATATATATATGCATGCACATGTATACACATATACAAAAGTATACTCAAAAGCTTATTGCAAAACCAGGTTCCTATTGCTCTGAACAGTCACTGTGACAAAAAAACAGGCGTTTGACAAATTGCATTTTAATAAGGATCAGAGGCTGAAATGGGGCTACATCTCCCCGTTTCTTTTCTATTTTTCAACACTTTAAGAAACATTAGGTCAAATGCAGCTGCGTAAGCGTGGCTTCAGAAGTTCCCTCTAGTCATCTTCAGGTGACACCTCTTCAGCTCTACACAGTACGGAAGTGGTCTGCATTCAGGGGCAGGGGTTGGGGAGGGCAATGCTTTGTCTCCGGGCAGCTGAGCTGGAGCTGCCCTCCTGCTCCTGCTGAGGGAAACCTGACCTGTGTAGCAGGTGCTGGACACTGGATGAATGTTCCCGTTCTCAGTTTGTCTGGTTGACTTGGCTTGGCTGAAAGGGGTTTTTTTAATTGTTGTTTTTTTGTTTGGTTTTAATTTGTTTGGTTTTTTTTCACAGGGGTGGGTTGGTTGTGTGGGTGATCTTTCTTTTTTTTTTTTCCTTTGGTTCTCCTGTCCTGCTCATCTTGCCTGGTTTTGTAGTATCTAGTTCAAGACCTAGCTTGAACCAGCATGCCTGTTGCAAATGTAGAGTTGAATTATTCTGCCTCTTCCTGTAACTGTTCTGTCCATTAAGAACGTAAGGTTTTCTAGACAAAAAAAAACAACAGATGAGGTATTTGTGTAACCGTTACTGTTACATTATGTAGATGTAACTGCATGTGTGTGTGGGGAGTTGGTGTCATTAATGTATTCAGCGTGATCGAACAACAGCAGCGCTTTCTATTTTTTCAATCAACAGCTCCACCGCTCTAAACGATTGCGGAGTGAAGGACCCACCTATTGCACTGACCTTCTCAGGGCACTGCCCTCAGATGTTTCATACCGGCGTAATACACTTCTGCTAGGTAAGACCTGGTGGTGGTGGCCATTTTTCTGTCTCTCTCCTGAAATATAGGAAGAATTGATAGAACAGTAACAGTGGTGCTGAACGTGATGGTAGAGCATGGAAAAATCTATCGTTTGCTTTAGCCTTTTTCTGAATGTAGTCCAGGAGGCTGAACCACGTTTATAACACTTGCAATGAGAGGCCTGAAAAGGTGTCTGGCTGTCAGCCGAACAGGAATCCCCAAAAGCTTAAGGAACTACTGGTATAAATCGTACATCCAAATATATTCCTGACAAGATGCTTGCTAGTCTGGATCGAGAGGGCTCAAATTATGCTCTTCCCATTCACTCTGACTGGCACGCTGAGATAGCGATAGCAAGCCATGTCCTGCTACTTTGCTACTGAGCTGAGGTCAGTCCTGGTTTAAAAACTTGAACAGGTAACATAGCTACTGAGATTCATGTAATTGTATTTGTTGATTTCTCAATGAGGTGTTTGTACTTCCCTGCACCTCTCGGGCCTTATAAGTATTAAAAGCAACCACTGACAGACATGTATTGCAGGGCCACAGAACAGCAGAGGGCGTTTGGGATTTTATAGGCAAAGTGTTTCTTCCA